TACTGTAAACTGCATACTCATGTTATTGTTGTGACTGTTGGATGCTACCAGGTTGGTTCCGACTCACAGGGACCCTGTGTACAGCAGAATGAATCATCCCCAGGTCCAGAGCCATCCTCATAAGCACTGCTATGTATGAGCCCACTATATCTCTTTGAAGGCTTCCTATTTTTTTCCATACTTTGTACTTCACAGACCAAGTAGGATGTGCTCCTTCATAACATAGCCAAAGGACAGAAGCTGACCTCATTTCTAAGGGACATTCTGATTGGACTTCTTCCAAGACAAATCTGTTTTTTCTGGTAATCCATAGTACTGTCACCTCATAGTCTCCTTACCTTCTCTAGAGAAAGAATTCAACCAGGAGGTTCAGGTCAAATTAGTGAAGAAGGCCACCTTTATGGGAGGAAACGCTGATCAGCCAACCCACAGTGGTTGCTAGGTACTCAACGCAGCTGAGGCCACAAGGTCAGAGTGGGTTGGGGTTTTGGACAGTGCAATTCAAAAGGGAGGCTAAGTGGCCAGTCAGGTAATGGGACTCAGTTTATCCCCATAAATGTAACTTCAGGGATATCATGCCTAGTCTTCCAGGTGTCATGCATGCACGCAGTGGGATTTTCAAGATGGAGTCATTGCAGAGGATTCTGGAATGCGTGGCACCACTTAAGGTGCATGTGCTCTGTAGTAACGTCCTCCAGTTCTACTCTCCTGTCTGTTAAATTACTTTCTGCTTGGAAAGGTCAGTTGTCAGTCAGGACATGCTCCCAGTACTGATTCAAGTTGTTTCCTTGAGACCAGGAAATTAACCTATAGAGAGCAGTCAGTGTCTTATCTTGAGGGAAGATCAGATGTTAATAGATATCAGAGTTAAAGGCACTTACAAGATTTCAGGGTGGTTAGTAGTAAAATTTCCAGAGTGGGTATATAGGTTTTTATTAAGAGCTATAGGGCCTGTAAGACAAGGATAGCTATTCTGCTGCTGGCATTATATTCAATAATCTTTACATTTGAACCATTATTCAAAGACATAAATTTTTTAATCTTCCTTGTTTGTCAACCAAATTTCATGAGCATATGAGACAACTGAACATACCATGGCCTTGTTGCTATTGAGGACCATCGAATCACACCCTCCAGTGGGTTTTCAGAGGCAGTTAATCACATGAGAGGAGATTGTGCATGCTTCTCCTGCAAATATGCCTTAGTCTTCAAAATGATGTCTTTGCTTTTTGACATTGATAGAGATCTGTGGCAGCAGATTTTTCCAGTACATCATTTGATTTCTTGACTTTTGCTTCCATAAATCCTGATCGAGGATCCAAGTGAAGCGAAATCCTGGACAACTTCATCCTTTCCTCCATTTCTCATAATGTTACTTATTTCATTAATTGTAAATGTGGTTTTGTTTTCTTAACGTTGAGGTGTAATCCATACTGAAAGCTTCACCTTTGGTCTTCATGTGAATGAGTGCTTCTAGTTTACTTTGCTTTCAGCAAGCAAAGCAGTGTCACCTGCATGTCGCATCTTGTTAGTAGGTCTTCCTGTAGTCCTGATGCTCTGTTCTTCTCCATCTTATTCAGTTGCTCATATCACTTGTTCAGCATACAGATTTAGTAGAGATAATGAAAGGATACAACCTTGATGCTTGGCTTTTCTGATTTTTAGCTACATAGTATTCTCTTGTTGAAGTCAAACAGCTAACTCTTGGTTTATGTAAATACTCCACATTCCATAATTGCTGCTGTTATGTGCCTTGCGTTGGAACTAACTCATAGCTTACCTGCCAATGAATCCTGTTGGTTTTGTGTGCTATAGACTCAGAACCAACTCATAGCTAACCCTCCAGTAGGTTTTCAGAGGCAATAACACAGGAGGAGATTGACCATCTTTCTTCCATGCAGCTGGTGGATTTGAACTGTGTGCCTTTGGGTTGGCAGCACAGCTCCTTAGGACTAAACCACTAAAGATCCTTGAAGTGGATATACATAGTCATTGCAACAGAAACCATATACATATTAAAAAAAAATAGAATTATTAATATAAATATTTTTAAAATATCCTTTTTTATTGTAAAACTAACATTCTGAAGATGAACCTTGAAAAGATTCTTCTGAGCAAACTAAATAAAATAAATCAGTCACAATATGATAAATGCTATATCATCTCTCATAGATGAAATAATCTAATACATAAAAATTAAAGATTATAAATTGTTAATCAGAGTAGGACAGAGAGAGAAAAATGAAGATTTTGTTTGGACAGCAGAGTTAATCATAGTGAAGTATTTTGGAAAGAGAGAGTAATAATGCAAACCTGTGAAAAATGTAATTCAATGCCATTGAATTGTGAAAGTGCAGCCGTTGTTAACCTAGAAACTATCGTCTTGTGTATGCCTTCATCACAAATGAAAATAAAAGCTAAAACAAAAAAGAAAACAGCATACTTAAACCTTGTGTTGTTGTTCATTGCCGTAGAGTCGAGGCATAATGACCCTATGAATAAAAGGTCTGAAGCCTTTCTATAACTATCATCATTTCTCCAGGTTCATAGAGTTTTCAGAGGCATGTGTTTCCAGAGACATGTGGTTTAGGAAATGGATGACACTCCTGCTTCCAAACTTGTCTTAAAACTGGAAGCTCCACTAAACACTGTCCACCATGGGCAGCTGTTAGGGCATTTTACCTCCAATCACACAAGGTTCAGTTTCACAGCAAACCCAGATTACCTTAGTACCACAAATTGACAGAAGAATGCTGTACAATTTTGAAAATGTTCCTCCAAAATGAAATAATAGCAATAACAATAGGCAATAGGTCCTTCGGCCCAACTGACATTTAAATACGAGGACCCTCATAAAGTTTCCAGAGGCACATGGTTTAGGAAGTGGATGGCACTCCTGCTTCCAAACCTGAATCAATCTGGGAGCTCCACCAAACACTGCCCATGATGGGTAGCCAATTATAGTGTTTGACACACCTATGGCACAGTTGTTCATCATCGCAGCAACTCCATATTACTTCAGTAAAGCAAATAGCCAGACAGCTGCTGTACCACTTAAAAGAGTGTCCATGCAAAAATCAAGTAGCTTGCTCAAAACTCTATCCCAGTGAGATGACTAATGGAAGAGAATTACCATGACAAAAAGATGGGTTTTAACACACATCTCTGGAAAGAGAAGATAGACTAGTGATTGAGTTCAACTTCATGGCTAATGATACAATCAACCATGCCCAAAAATAAATTAAATCTACTGAACTTTGAGTGAAAATAGCTGAGCCTAGCATTTAATTCAAAACTGGTGTCATTTAATTCAAAACTGGTGTTTGTTGTTGTTGATTGCCTTCGAGTCGATCGCGACTCATAGCGACCCTATGAACAAAAGGCTTGAAGCTCCTCTATAACTATCGACATTTAACAAAGTTCACAAGAGTTTCCGGAGGCATGTTGTTTAGGAAGTGGATGCCACTCCTGCTTCCAAAATCATCTTCTAAAAATGTGTGCTTTCATACAGTGAAGTATAGCTTTAGGTATTGAAATTTCATTTTCTGCTGATGTTGAAATGTTGAATTTGACAATAGACTTAAAACTGTGGTGATTGCTACTTTGAGCCAGAGAGAAAGCTTATTAATATTCTCACACAAACCCATTGATGTGGTGGACCACGGAGAGGGAAGATGGGTAGTGAAGCACAGGAGTGTGTCTTGATGCACTAAATCATTTACCTTTAAATCATTTAAGTTTATTCTTACTTCTAGTGAACCTAGATTTGTAAGGGTAGAACTGTACTCCATAAGGTTTTCAGTGGATAATTTTCTGGAATTTGATTACTAGGCTTTCATTCACGATGTCTCAGCATGGACCTGAACCAACCACCTTTCATTTAGAAGCTAAGCATGTTACCAGTTTGTCCAACACAGGGATTCCTTTGATACACTTGTTTGTATGCTGTTAGGTGCTGGCGAGAATGATAAATAAAGATGAGATAGATGGAGCATGAGCAGAGACACTTCATGATTAACTTTCATAGACCAAATAGACTTTGTTGTTGTTATGTGCCATTGAGTCACCTGCAACTTGTAGCGACCCTATGTACAATAGCCTTGACGCCTACTCTATCTTGAGCTAACTTCATTTTCTCTCGCACACCTACCCCAATTACCCTAGTCACTATGTCAATCCATCTCATCTAGGGTCTTCCTCTCTTGTGCTGTTTCTCCACCCTTCCAAGCATGATGTCCCTCTCCAAGGACTAGTCACTCCTGTCAACATGCCCAAAGGATGTGAGATGAAGCTTTAAAATCCTTGCCTCCAAAGAGCAGCCCAGTTTCACATTCTACAGGACAAACCTGTTTGTTCTCATAGCTGTCCATGGCACATTCAGTACTCTTCTCCAGCACCACAACCCAAAGGTATTGATTGTTCTTCTGTCATTCTTAGTCACTACCTAGCTTCCTGATGCATAGCAATTAATTTTGAAGACCATCGTCTGGATCAGGAACACTTTAGTGTCTAGACTGACATCATTGATCTTCAGTATTCTGGAGAGGTCCCTCACAGCAAGATTCTCCCAATGCAATTCCTCTTTTGATTTACTGGCTGCTGGTACCAAAAGTGTTGATTGTGGAGCCTTGCAAGCTGAAGCTGTTAGCAACCTCAATCTCTCCTCCATCTACCATGATGCTGACAATTGGCTCAGTGATAAGAATCTTCTTTTTCTTGATGTTGAGCTTCGATCCATATTGAAGGCTGCAGTCCTTGACCTTCTACAGCAAAGGCCTCAGGTCCTCTTCAGGTTTTGCAAGCAAGATTATAATAACTCTCAAAATACTGAGACTATTTTTATGGATGGTTGCTGATCAGAAAAAGCAAATTTTCTTTTTGCCACTCTTAAATTGTTCTCTCTCTCCTTTTATCACAGCATTGAGTATATTAAAGAGAAAGAAGAGTTAGGATGGAAATTTCTTCATTAACTTTAGTATCACTGTGGTCTTGATCCCCAGGTCAATGCAAGGGCCCACCAATGTTTCAGTATGCCAAACTTAAAAACCAGACAGATGAAACTCAATTTCCTAATGGGACGGTTTTGAAGTATGAATGCCGCCTTGGATACAACAAGAGGACTTTCCTTATCACCTGTCAAGGAAACTTGACCTGGTCAAACAAGGAAAATGTCTGTAAACGTAAGTATCTGTGGACTAGATTAGATTTTATTAAGTTCACTCTTCTTTGGAACTCATATACATGGCTTAACAAATCTACCCAGTGTATAGAATATAAACATTATTTTTGTACATCTTATATTCTCTCTGTGATGAGGCCCCAGCATCTTATTGACAAGTTCCTTTCATGAGAAATGACCAACACAAGGCATGACTTAGTGATAGCCCTCATTCACTGAAGATCTCCTTTTTTTAATGACTAAACTAATGACTCAGGACAGGAAAGAAATCATGTTGAATAACTAAGTAAGGAGAAAAGCCTAGGTTTTGATGCTTTTTAATTGCTGTTAGGTGCCATTGAATCAACTATGACTCGCAGCGTGACCTTATGAACCAAAGATTGAAACCTTGCCCTATCTTTTTTAATTTTACTGGTTGAATGACAATATAAGTTTGATGATAATAAATGAACTTCACCTTTTTTTCAGAAGGTGCAGTATGAGGATTTGACAGATCTGAGAAGGAAATCTTTTTTTTTAAAGTCATATTTTTTAGGTAGCTAATCCTAAACTCTATGCCACTGGGGGGGGGGGTGAATGCCATAATGGTTACCCATGGTGCACTGTTTGGTGAAGCTCCAAGATTAAGAGATGTTTGGAAACAGGAGTGGCATCTACTTCCTAAATAACATGCCTCTGGAAACTATGAACTTTAAAAAAAAAGAGAGAGAGAAAGAAAGAGAAATGTCAATAGTTACAGAAAAGCTTCAGGCCTTTTGTTCATAGGGTCACTATGAGTTGTGCTCAACTCAACAGTGAACAAAAACAACAATCCTAAAGCAGCCTAGTGAGTTTTTCAAAGTAGTACATTTTGTGGAAATATCAGAACTACAAATGCTCTCTGGGAACTTATAAACAGGTTATTACCTTCTATAACAACAAAAGTTCAGAATATTTAACACCCAGTCCCAAAATTATGCTTTCTCTCCCCACCCCCCTTAGGTAAAACATGTAGATTTCCTCCAGAGCCTGACCATGGTTTTGTGCATGTGAACACAGACTTGCAATTTGGATCAAGTGTAAATTATTCTTGTGCTGAAGGGTGAGTTGACAGTTCTACAATCATAATAACAATCTCTAAACCATGATCTTAGAAAGGAAATGTCAGCCCATTAAAACCAAGTAATAAGATTTATAAGCAGAGTTTGACGCCTTTGAGTTGTGGTGTTGGAGAAGAGCACTAAACATCCCATGGACAGCCAAAAGAACAAATAAATATATGTCTTGGAAAAGATAAAGCTTGAGAACTCTTTGGAGGCAAAGATGACGAGGCTTGGCCTCATATACTTTGAGGATGTTGCTAGGAAGGGCTATTCCTTGGAGAGGGACATGGTACTGGGAAGGGTGGAGGGTCAGTGAAGGAGAGGAAGACCCTTAACCAGGTGGATTGACATAGTGACTGCTGCAACAGCTCTCATGTGTCAGAAAGTGTGCATGATGCAGGATAGGACAGTGTTCAGATCCACCGTTCATAGGCTGAGTCATACTCGACTCGACAGCACCTAACAACAACAGAAAGTAGAGATGGTGGCTAGAACTGAAGCATTAAACTCCCTTCTAATTTACCAAAACTATTTAAAATATAGGAAAAATGAGTATATGTGCTGGAAATTAGAACACAGTTCCTGAATGTCTAAATGAATGGACCTAAAACCAAGTGACATGTTCACTAGATGAGAAGGAACAATTCCTTAAGGAAGAAAATGGAACAAACCCAAGTATCCTGACCTCAGAGCAACACAAACAGATGGTGACCTGTGAGGGAAATGGGAGAGACTGAGTTGTCTGAGATCATGTAGCAATTGTAGTGGACAAATATTAGTTGTCTTAGCCCTTCACCAAAAGTGCACACAGCACAAGAATCTTTCCTGGGCTTTCACTGTTGGGAGAAGACAAATCTGGGATTGAAATGTATATGTTGAATTTTGCTTTGATTTCATTAGTTTAGTTTTAGTCATTGCTTACTTAGAATGCACAAAAACATGTATAAGAAGCTTTATAATATAGAAAAAGATATAATATTTATATCTAATATAATATTTTTCTAATATATTAAAAACCTTTCTATAAAATACTATAATATATTTATAATATATATCAATATATTTATAATATATCCATAGTGTGATCCATTGCTAATTAAAAATACATATCCTATGTGAAAGACAAAAATAATAAACTTTACAATACACACCATACATCTTAAAAAACTTAATACCTTTAAAGTCTCCCATGTGCCCCTCCTAATTCCCAGTCCTCCACCTTCTCAACCCTTCCAGAAGTAACCACCATCCTGAATTATACATTTTTTCATTTTTTTTTGTATTTCCTTACATTTTGCCTAGTACATAGACCTTCTCAGTACTTTTTGGTTTCACATGCATTTAAATATGTTCTAAAATACATAACATATAAACTTTTCTATAATTTGCTTGCACTCACCAGTCTATGCCAGGAAGTTTGGAGGATGGCTTTCTGGCCAACAGAAATGAAGAAGCTCATGTTTTTTCCCATTCCCAAGAAAGGTGATCCAACTGAATGTGAAAACTATCAAACAATATCATTGATATCACATGCAAGCAAGGTACTACTGAAGATCATTCAAAAACAGCTGGCACAGTACATAGATAGGGAACTGCAAGAAGTTCCGGCAGGATTTAGAAGAGGTCGTGGCACCAGAGGTATCATTGCTGATGTCAGATGGATCCTGGCTGAAATAAGGAATACCAGGAGAATGTCTAATTATGTTTTATGACTATGCAAAGGCTTTTGACTATGTGGATCATAACAAGTTGTGGCTGACGTTGAGAAGAGTGAGAATCACAGAGCACTTAATTGTGGTTGGTTTTTGGTTTTTTGGTTTGGGGTTTCTTTTTTTCTCTACCTGGACCAGGAGACTGTTGTGCAATTGGAGCAGTGGAGCACTGCATGGTTTGGAATTGGAAATGGAGTGTGCTAGGGTTGTATTTTCTCTCCATACCTATTCAATCTGTATGCTAAGCAAATTATCCAAGAAGCTGGAATCTATAAGGAGGAGTGTGGCCTCAGGATTGGAGGTAGATTCATTAATAACATGTGTTATGCAGATGACACAACCAACCTTGCTTGCTGAAAGTGAGAAGGACTTGAAGCACTTGTTGCAGAAGATTGAGGAATGCAGCATTCAGTGTGGATTGCATCTCAATGTCAGGAAAACAAAGATTCTTACCACTGGATCAATAGGCAGCATCATGACAGATGGAGAGGAGATTCAAAGTGTCAAGAGCTTCATCTTGTTTGGGTCCACAATTAACACTGTTGGTACCAGCAGTCAGGAAATAAGGAGATACATTACACTGGGAAAATCTGCAGTTAGGGACTTTTCCAAGTTATTGAGGTGTAGTGATGTCAGTTTGTGGACTAAGGTGCATCTGATTCAAGCCATAATCTTTGCTATTACTAGCTGTGCATCTGAGTGCTGGACAATGAATATGGATGACAGAAAAAGAATTGACACCTTTGATTATAAGTCTAAAAAAATTGCAATACACAACATTTTACAACTCCTAAATAGGCTCAATTGTAGAGTTGAGATGACAAAAGATAAAATCCGTGAACTTGAGGCTAAATTAATATGATTTGTTTTGTTTAAACAACAGAGAAAAAGTAGTATTAAAACATAGATAATGGACAGAGCCTCAGGAAGCTATAAAACAATAATAAAGGCTCTAATATTTGTATCATCAAAGTTCTAGAAGGAAAAGAAAAAGAATATGGGATGAAAAAAAATCTTTTTTATACTAATAGCCAGGAAATAAAAAACGTATTGCAATGGGAAAGTTTGTGGTTAGGGACCTCTCTAACGTACTCAAGAGCAACGGTGTCTCTCTGGAGACTAAGGTGCACCTGATACAGGCCATGGTCTTTGCAATCACTTGTTATGCATCAGAGAGTTGGACAATAACTAGGGAGGATAGAAGGAGAACTGATGCCTTTGAGCTGTGGTGCTGGAGAAGAGTATTGAATGTACCATGGACTGCCAAGAAAACAAACAGATTCATCGTAGAGAGGATTAAACCAGGCTGTTCCTTGGAGGCAAGGATTCTGGGGCTTCGCCTGACATACTTTGGACATGTTGTAAGGAGAGACAGGTCTTTAGAGAGGGACATCATGCTGGGCAGAACGGAGGGACAGCGCAGGAGGGGAAGACCCTCTATGAGGTGGATTGATTCAGTGACTGGGGTAATCGGGATGGGTGTGTCAGAGGCAATGAGATTGGCACAGGATAGAGCATGGTTTAGGGCTGTTGTACATAGGGTCGCTATGAGTCGCAAATGACTCGACGGCACATAACAACAACAACAAGAATAGCCAAAAACTTGTCAAATTTGTGGAAAGATAAGCCTACAGATTTAAGAAGCTGCCCAAATACAGTAAACCTAAAGACATTTTCACAAATGTACATCATAATTAAGCTCCTAAAAACTAAAGTTCATAGGGTTTCCAGAGGCAAGCTATTTACAGAAGTGGATGCCACTCCTGTTTCCAAGTTTGTATTAATCAGGGAGCTCCACCAAACACTGTCCACCACCAAATCGACGGCACTTAACAACAACAACAAAAACTAAAGTTAAAAAAATTCTTTAAAATGATAGGAAAACATATATCCTTCAGGAATAAAGAAAAAATAAAGACTTTTCCAGTTGAAGGAAAACTGATTGTGTCACTAGCACACTAGTTAAAGAAAGCTCTGTTGTTGTTGCTGTTGTTGTGTTGTTGTTATGTGCTGTCAAGTCAGAACTGACCCATAGCTTGCCGTCTAGTGCGTTTTCAGAGGCAGTTAATCGCCTGGGAGGAGATTGCCCATCCTTTTCCTGCAGAGCAGTTGGTGGATTCAAGCTGGAAAAAGAACTCTACAGACAGAAATAATAATAGAAGGAGACTTAGAATTTCATAAAAGAAATACAATAGCAGAATGTGGAAGGGTTAATATGCTATTTGATAGTTGAAGTAAACACTGGGAAACATTAGTTGTGGTAAAAACTGTATTTTGGAAAAACTGCTGCGATAAAATTTCATCTAAAATGTGGGGCAGGTAAAGGGAACTTAATGGAGGTAAGTTTTCAATAATTGACTCAGGTGCAAAAATAACACTATCAATATGGTAAAACATTATTTTTATATGTATATATGAGAAGGAATGCGAAGCGAGGGAAGCAGAGGAAAAAATAAAATTAAATCCTTGCAAAATACATTAAAAGATAGATGGTACATAGGAGAAAGATGAACAGTCTTCTCCCATGTGATTTACTGCTTTTAAAAGTCCACTGGAGGGTCAGCTATGATTTATTCCAACTCAACAATACATCACAACAACAACGACAACATATATCTATCTTTATATCTCCCTATCAACAATCTGCGTTATGCAGATGACACAACCTTGCTCGCTGAAACTGAGGAGGACCTCATGCACTTACTGCAGAGGGTCAAGGACTGCAGCCTTCAATATGGACTAAGACTCAATGTCAAGAAGATAAAAATTCTCACCACTGGACCAATCAGTAGCATCAGGATGGATGGCGAAGAGATTGAGATTGTTCACAGCTTCAGTCTGCGTGGCTCCACGGTCAACACTCTTGGCACCAGTAGCCAGGAAATAAAAAAACATATTGCGATGGGAAAGTCTGCAGTTAGGAACCTCTCTAAAGTACTCAAGAACAACGGTGTCTCTCTGGAGACTAAGGTGCGCCTGATACAGGCCATGATTTTTGCAATCACTTGTTATGCATCAGAGAGTTGAACAATGACTAGGGAGGATAGAAGGAGAATTGATGCCTTTGAGCTGTGGTGCTGGAGAACAGAATTGAATGTACCATGGACTGCCAAGAAAACAAACAGATTCATCGTAGAGAGGATTAAACCAGGCTGTTCCTTGGAGGCAAGGATTCTGGGGCTTCGCCTGACATACTTTGGACATGTTGTAAGGAGAGACAGGTCTTTGGAGAGGGACATCATGCTGGGTAGAGTAGAGGGATAGCGCAGGAGGGGAAGACCCTCTAT